GTGAGTGCTTGTGAATATTAATGAATGGGGTGATGAATATTAATCAGCCAGCGTAATTCTATTATTATGAGTATGATGTGGCATTAGTTCATTCTTATTATAATAGTGGGGAGCGATTTCAGGTGATGCGCGTCTCCATGGTAACCCAGTTAAGTACCCCTCTATAGCAATAACAGCCAATTTGTGGTCCCGGTGATGACAGTTGTCATACCCCATGTGTCTTGCACAAGAGGTGAGGAGGATTCTGGGAGGTCACATGACATCATTCTTATCTCTAGTCATAAAACACAGACCTGACCGGAGAGGTGAGGAGGATTCTGGGAGGTCACATGACATCACTCATCTATTACTAACACACAGACCTGACCTGAGAGGTGAGGAGGATTCTGGGAGGTCACATGACATCACTCCTATCTCTATTCATAAGACACAGATTGGGTAATTTTGGTGGTCGGAGGATTCTTGAACCTAGAAGCATTGGTAGATCTTTGATGAGGCCACCTAACCTTCCCGTCCCCTCTCGATGTCTTCCTTCCATTGGATCATCTGCTCCAAGTTCTTGAAACCTCTTTATTTAGTTGCGGCTCAGGACAGGAAGTGAAATCTCCCCAGCACACGGCATAAAACTAGAACATGCCGTAAATGAAGTAATTGTCTTCTGTGTCGTTCCTTTCCCGCAGATTTACCGAACGACGCTGCAGCTTCTGGTTTTATTAAAGAGGAACCCTGCTTGTGCGTTGCAGAGAATCTCCCGCTCTTGGCCGCGTCAAGCCCAGGTTGTAGGCACCGTGCAACGACTTGTTCTAAGAAGGAACTCTCGTGTGCAGGAAACGCTAATGCTTCCAAGCCCAGAGAGGATTCTCAAGGTGCTAATACAATGGAGAAACTGCGCTCACAGGAGGAGAAACCTTTCCCACACACAGATGCTCCTTCACCTGTTGGTAATGAACGTTATACTAAGGAACATGGCCGCCGTGGTAGAGGTCTTCCGTACCCTGATGTAGACCATACGCAGTACTTAGCTATTCTAATAAAGGAGGAACCCGCCTCCTTTGAGGAAGAGAATATAGGCGAACCAGACACATCACCCCCTTACCCAACAGACTACGAACCGACGTGTCTGAAAGAGGAACCCCAGAGCTCCTCTGATTATGAACACGAGGCGGTTTTAGTTGACAAATCCGGGACTTATCCCAGCCCTGAGCCCCCCAGAGACAAACCCTTTTCTTGTCCTGAGTGTGGGAGGAGCTTCATCAGCAACTCCCACCTGATCATCCACCAGAGAACCCATTCTGGCCTGAAGCTGTACTCCTGTCCAGAGTGCGGGAAAAGCTTCTGCAGCAACTCCAGCCTCCTCCGGCATCAGGAGTCGCACGCGGGAGAGCGACCTTACTCCTGCTCCGAATGCGGCAAAGCCTTTGCACGGAAATCCCACCTCTTCCAGCACCAGGAAGTGCACAGCGGCGGTGGTAAGCCCCACTCCTGCGCAGAGTGCGGAAAGTGCTTTGTCCACAGCGGCCACCTGGCCAAGCACCAGAAAGTTCACACTGATGTCAAGCCTTACCCTTGTCCGGACTGCGAGAAGTCGTTGGTTCGCAAGGCGCACCTGCTGGAGCATCGGAAAGTCCACACGGGGCTGAAGCCGTTTGCTTGCACGCAGTGCAGGAAATGTTTCGCCAGCAATGCCCACCTGATCCAGCACGTGCGTGTCCACACAGGAGAAAAACCGTTCTCCTGCCTTGAGTGCGGGAAGTGTTTCATTAGCAACGCCAACTTGGTGGTGCACCAGCGAGTCCACACCGGGCAGAGGCCGTATCACTGCACTGACTGCGGGAAGTCCTTTGCCAGCAGCTCCCAGTTGGTGGAGCATCAGCGGATTCACACAGGAGAGAAGCCGTACTCGTGCCCAGAGTGCGGGAAACGTTTCACCTTCCGGTCCAGTCTGGTGAAGCACGAGAGAAGCCACACCGGAGAGAAGCCTTGCGGTTGCTCCGTTTGCGGGAAGAGCTTCATGCAGAATTCCCATCTGGTGATCCACCGGAAGACTCACCTGGGGGAAAAGCCGCATTCGTGTGCAGAGTGCAGCAAGACATTCATCACCAAAGCCAGCCTGGTTATCCATCAGAGGAACCACACAGGCGAGCGGCCCTACCCTTGTGTCGTGTGCGGAAAATGCTTCACTTGCAGCTCTAGCCTCGGCATCCATCAGAGGACTCACGCAGCGGACAAGCCGTACGCCTGCCCTGAGTGTGGCAAGAGGTTCCCCGGGAACTCGGAGCTGGCCAAGCACCGGAAGATCCACACGGGCAGCCGGCCGTACACCTGCCCCGAGTGTGGCAAGACGTTTGTCCGCAACTCCGACCTGCGGGTCCACAGCAGGAGCCACACGGGCGAAAGGCCGTACTCTTGCTCCCAGTGTGGAAAACGCTTCGCCAACAGCTCCGTCTTCGCCATCCACCATCGCAGCCACTCGGGCGACCGCCCCCACGCCTGCTACAAGTGTGGCAAGTGCTTCATCAGGAACTTTGACCTGGTTGTCCACATGAGGCGCCACACCGGGGAAAAACCCTACGCGTGCTCCCAGTGCGCGTGCCGGTTCGTCAATAAAGGCGGATTGACTGCTCACGTCAAAATCCACAAATAGACGGTTCGGGTTTTCTTCGGTACGAGTTGAAGGGTCGGTCCACTCAAAGCTGAAGGACTCAACCACCTCCTGACTTGGGGCCTCCAAAGACGACCTCAGTTTTGTAAGCTCCTCCTATCTGCTACGAAGCCCTATGTGGAACCCAGCAGTAAGGGTGGGTGTGGCAGGGGGCGGAGCTGGAACTTAGGTGAAGACATTCTACTTTGAGAGTCCCTAGGAATACATGAAGGTGGGGGGAGGGGTGCTTTAATATCCACGTTGAGTGGACCCACCATTGGAAAGCCATCATTGAAGTTCATGTCGCATGTTTTTACACATTTTCATATAATTAAAAAAGTGGTGCGGCAGAGACGTTTCCTGGCCTTTTAGTTCCTAACGCGGTCATCTCCAGGACCGTCCTTGTGTCCCGAAGCCTTCGGAACTCAATGTGCCCGGGGTTTTGGAAGCCTGAAATGGCCCTCAGCTCTGCCTAGGCCCCCATTGGACCCTCAACAAATAAACACAGGTTCTTGGTCCCAGTAGCCACCAAGGCTCTATACATATGGTGCTCATGGGGGCAGTTCTAGAAAGCAGAATGTAGCATGGTGGTGGGGCGGGATCTCTTGTGGGAGGGGCTTAGCAGAAGCCTTTGGATTTCAATGGGCCCTGGGTTTTGGAAGCCTGAAATGGCCCTCAGCTCTGCCTAGGCCCCATTGGGTGTTCAACAAATAAACACAGGTTCTTGGTCCCAGTAGCCACCAAGGCTCTATACATATGGTGCTCATGGGAGTAGTTCTAGAAAGCAGAATGTGTGGTGGTGGGGATCTCTTGTGGGAGGGGCTTAGCAGAAGACTGCGGATTTCAATGAGCCTGAGTTGACCCTCGACAAGTAAACACAGGGTCTTGGTCCCCTGTAGCCAGCAAGGATCTGTACCTATGGGAGCAGTTCAAGAAAGCTAAATGAACTATGGTGGTGAGGGAAGGGCTCTTGTGGGGAGGGGTGTACATAGGCCTGTGGATTTCAACGAGCCTGGGATGACCCTCAGCTCTGCCTAGGCCCCATTAGACCAACAAATAAACATAGGTCCTTGACCCCAGTAGCCGCCGAGGCTTTGTACATGTGGGGCTTATAGGATTAGTTCAAGAAAGCAGAATGTTGTATGGTGGGTTTGGGGCTCTTGTGGGAGGGGCTTAGCAGAAGGCCGCGGATTTCCATAAACCCGGGGTTTTATAGGCCTGAGATGACCCTTAGCGCCTCCTAGGCCCCAATGGACCCTCAACAATTAAAGACAGGTTCCTGGCCCCAGTAGCCACCAAGGCTATGTACATATGGTGCTTATGCGGTCAGTTCAAGCAAGCAGATAGCGTATGGTGGTGGTGGGGCTTTTGTGGGAGGGGCTTAATAGAAGGCTTCGGATCTCCATAAGCCTGAGATGACCCTCAGCTCTGACCCTCAACAAATAAACACAGGTTCCTTGCCCCAGTAGCCACCAAGGATCTGTACATGTGGGGGGACAGTTCAAGAAAAAAGAATGTCATATGGTGAGGGGGCTCTTGTGGGAGGGGCTTAGCAGAACTCTGTGGATTTCAACGAGCCTGGGGTTTGGTAAGCCTGAAATGACCCTCGGGGTCTGCCTAGGTCCCACCGGGCAGTTCAAGAAAGCAGAATGACACGTGGTGGTGGGAGGAGCTTAGCAGAAGCTGGCAGAGTTCCATCAGCCCGGGGTTTTGTAAGCCTGAGATGACCCTCAGCTCTGCCTAGGCCCCATCAGAACCCCAACAATTAAACAGGTTCCTGGCCGCAGTAGCCACCAAGAACTCCCAGCTTTTCAGGTGACGGAACCCCCCTTGGAGAGGAGGAAGCTGGTTGGTCCAGATTGGTAACGCACACAGTTAATTTTCCGGTCCCTGGTGCTTCCAGTGACTGTTAGTGGTGGGGAACCCCCATTGTGTATACACGGAGCTTGGTGGGCTTCTTCTACGACTTGGGGACACCCAACTTGGGTTCCCTTGCTCTACATGTCACCATATGGAATCCATCAGGAAGAGTGGGAACCCCTTTATAACGTGCAGACCCGAGAACTCCCAGAATTCCATCCAAAACTGAGATTTTACTATTTGTAGGGACCGATATTCCTCAGCAGGTTCTTCTAAGACGGGAACTCTCATCGGTGAGATCTCTGAGTTTGTGGGTCCTTCACATACATAGGCAGGAGATCCCCCCCCCATTACACACATTAACACCCCCCCCACAATCACATTGCATGCGTCCTGTTTATTCTGAGATGATAAACAGCCAAAGTGTAAAATAATATTATAATTGTGTTCCATGTTTCTAGTGTAGCTGTGGACTTAAAGGACAAGTCCTCCCACTCAACCGAATACACAGGGGACCAATACAGGAAGTGTGTCGCCCTCCAAGAGATCTCAGTCCCCTCCCTCCTTGCTGTGCCTCGGTAGCATGAAGACACGGAAAGCAGTTTCCATACATCAGTTATGCAGACTCCGTGTCACTGCCCCGCCTCTTTCCTGCTCCTCGGGCTGCTAGTATATATCCGCACACTGGTGACACCCACCTCTCTCCTGGTAACTCCCAACCCTTCAGTTTACCAGTAGCCACTCCCACAACAAGCCTGATTTCAGATGGTGAACGGCGTAGATCATGTGATCTTAGCTGCATTGCTTTTGTCCTGGGCTTTTTGTCATCTGCACGGCCGGCAATTACAAGCCATTAGGGGTGTTCCGGCTGTCATTCCGTCTGGGAGCACAGGGGCCCCACATGCAGTTACAAGCCATTAGGGGTGTTCCGGCTGTCATTCCGTCTGGGAGCACAGGGGCCCCACATGCAGTTACAAACCGTTAGGGGTGTTCCGGCTCCCATTCCATCTGGGAGCACAGGGGCCCCACACGCAGTTACAAACCGTTAGGGGTGTTCCGGCTGCCATTCCGTCTGGGAGCACAGGGGCCCCACACGCAGTTACAAACCGTTAGGGGTGTTCCGGCTGCCGTTCTGTCTGGGAGCACAGGGGCCCCACATGCCATTAGGGGTGTTCCGGCTGCCATTCCGTCTGGGAGCACAGGGGCCCCACATGCAGTTACAAACCATTAGGGGTGTTCCGGCTGTCATTCCGTCTGGGAGCACAGGGGCCCCACATGCAGGTACATTTTGCCCAATTCCAGACGAATAGTAACCTCGCCCCCCTCCTGCGACCCCCCTCTAACCCCTCCTGAACATTCCCTTGTAAAGAAATACTCCGCCGGAGACCCTCACCCGCGCTGTTTCCAGGGGACCACTAATCCAGTGCTGCAGATGGCGCCCGGCCCGTCCTCAACAGTCCCCTTGCGCCGACGTCATCGCTGTGGACTTCTCTTCTGGATCCTGAGAGGACCCGGCCAAGCAGGTGTGACGTGGACACCAGAAGAAGGACTCCTCCTCCTCTGACCAGAAGAAGAGAGAAGACTCGGGACAGGAGAGTCATGTGACTGCAGATTTAGGGGAGGTCAAAGGGCATTTAGGTCAAGCTAGCAATCAGTTAGAGGGGGATGGGAAGGAGGGCGTATAATATTTGCCTGGAGATGGTCTTATCGAGTGGGCTTTGGGTAACATCCAGTGTAGTCCTAATCGGGGGGAGGTTAGATATGTTGGCAACAGAGCTTACAATCGTTTACCTCAATCAAACTAATGCGACCCTTCTGTAATCAAATGAATGGATGTTTTCTACCCACCAGCTCTGACAGTCTCATATTTCAGGCACAGGAAGCAGTGGAAGGAAGGTACAGATGATAACAGCAGGGTACTTGCAGACCCAGAAAATGGTCAGGCTCACCATCGAAATGTCCCAGTTGTAGAGTATCATGCCTGTGGGGGTCCCGAAGGGTCCATTAATGCCTGTCCACATGGTCTAGAAGCCAGCAGAATGTGTGCTTCCACCACTGTGTGACGCCAAACAGCAACTCAGCTCAGGTTACCCCATAAGTCACAGAGTCATTTCTAGGAAACGCATGGTGGCTCCTCCAAACCGTTCCCCTGTGTAGCTCGCTTCACGTGAGCCTTTAAGGCCACTTTGCTGGAGAAACACTTCCCGCACATGGCACACGGGTACAGCTTCTCCCCCGAGTGGACTCTCTGGTGGTGCACCAGGTCCAAGTTGCTGACGAAGCGTCTGTTGCACTCGGGAGCAGGAGAAGGGCTTCTCCCTTATTCCGGAGTGGACTGCCTGGTGCCGGATGAGGTTGGACTTACTGATGAACCTCCGGCCGCAGTCGGAGCAGGAATACGGCCGCTCCCCCGTGTGAGTCCTGGTGTGGCGGGCCAGGTCGGAGTTGATGGAGAAGCTCTTCTCGCACTCGAAGCAGGTGTAGGGTTTCTCCCCCGTGTGGACCCGCTTGTGCTTGGCCAAGTTGGACTTGGTGCCGAAGGACCCGCCGCACTCGGAGCAGGAGAAGGGCCTCTTGCCCGTGTGGCTCCGCCGGTGCTTGAGCAAGCCGGACTTGTTGAAGAAGTTCTTGCCGCACTCCTGGCAAGAGTTCACTTTGACCGCGGTGTGGAGCCGGAGGTGTTTATTGAGGCTTTTGGCGCTGCTGTAACGCTTGCCACACTCCAGGCAAGAATAGGGCTTCTCCGCCGTACGACTCGGCTCCCCGATGACGGACACCAAACTATCCGCGCGTGGCAGGTGACCGCCCGCCATCTCTGTCTGCATATCTTCACGATCACGGCCTTCCCATGCCGTGGTAGTTACGTAATCAGAAGCGGTGGAGAGGTCACATGGTGGGAGGTGTCCATCGGCTGACACGTATGGTGCCGGTTTTAAACTACCAGTGCCTGGAAAATCATCTTCCTCCTCTTTAATTGTAACCAGTACGTATTGTGTATGGTCTACCGAGGTGGAGACATCAGCATGAGGTCCTTTACATGGGGCACGCGTCTCTTTAAAAGGCGTGTGATGAGAGGCC